GGCCCCGCACCTCCCTCGCCGTGGGCGGCTGGTGCCTGCCGGGGTCGTGTGCTGCAGGCCGGCCTGGCGGGCCGGGAGGCAGAAATGTGGTGTCATTGCTTTCCAGGAGCAGGTGTAAGTAGTTGAAGATGAGGGTGGTGGAGCATCTCTTACAGACATTCTCTGCTCAAGGTTAAAGCCCAGCCCCTCCCATCAAAGCTGGTGTCTTGCCATGGCACAAGCGCATCTTTTGGATGGGTGTAGGCAGAGACCAACTCCTCATGAAGAATGATGCTGTTGGAACTGAGTGTGCTGCTTGCTTTAATTAAGCAATTTTTTTTTTGTCTTTGCTTTTTCAGTTGAAATCTTTTTAGCTTAAATTCTCAGGTGGATTGCTGCAAAGGTCATGAAGGGGTAAAACTGATTTAATGGGAACGAAAAGAAGAGGGGGATATACCTTCAGGCACGCCACTTCTAAATCTTTATTCAGGCTGCAGCCTGGATGTGAGGCTGGCGGCGTGATTTGCAATTGCTTGCTTGCAGTTTTTTCCCTTGTGGGTGATGTGTGCAGGAAACCCGCCTAGTTTTATATGGACACTATATTGGGTTTCTGGAATCATCCCCTGTGCTGTCTGATTCTGCCTATGTAAAGGATTTCTGGTGTCTGGATGGGTGGGGAGACTTGAACAATACAAAGTTTGCCTTGCTTTGAAATTCCTGCTACAGATATTTTGAAAGGGGGAGGGAGGAGAGTGAAAGATCATGATGAATGCTTACTGAGGCTCAATTCTGTGGCTACATTTTCAGAATGTGTGGTAAGAGAAGATGTAACTTAAAAAAGGGGAGGGGGGGCGTGAGAGAGCTAAATAAAAGGATTTTCTTTGCAGCTCCATCCATTTCAATGGTGCAGCTTTCCCAAGCCCCTCTCCGTCGCCCATCATCACTGTCAGGCCGGTCAGAGGAGGGGGAGGATAAGAGCATGAAGGCGGCCAAGCAGCAGGTGAACCCGTCTGGGGAGAGCCAACCTCCCTCCAGCCCCCTGCAGTCTGCGCTGAACTCGGCAGCCTCTCCTTCCCAGGCATATGAGACTTACATTGATAATGGGCTTATCTGCCTCAAACACAAGATCAGGAACATAGAGAAAAAGAAGGTAACTTATTTTTCTTTGGTATGGCACATATTTAAATTGCTAATTGTAAAACTCTGCCTGTTTTGTATTAGCTGGAATAAGGTTGTGTGTGTATATAGAGAGTAATCATGGATTTTTTTTTTAAATAACCCATGAAAGGACATAAATGAAGATTTGCTAGTGGTTTTTTAATTATCATTTATAACCCCTGTATAGTAAAGAATGGTGTTACTTGCATTTGACATTGTGTGAGCATGATGTTATTGTTTCAGGAATCAGGAATTCAGCTAACTATAAACCTCTTCTCAGCTGCTGGCTTTACAGTGTGTGTCCAATAGTTAGCAAAAGTAATTGAATGTTGATCAAAACGGGCTGCTTCTCTAATTGACTGAATCAGTTCAGAATGAACTTGGAACTGAGTTGGAGATGGCTTATAGTCTTGCAGAAGTCTTCATATTTCTTCTATTGATTACATGCATCTAATACTGGGATGTAGAGATGTATGTAAAATTGGAAATGAGGAACAGCGTTTCCTCTGACTCAAGGAAATGTCAAATTGTATTAAATATGTATTGCGCTTCACTTTGCATAAATCTGTCTTATATATTTTAAATATAGGCAAATGTTATTCACTAGAAAGCTTTTAAACAGAGAGCATCCAAAGCTTGCTCTTTTGCTTTGAACTGTGCTTTTCTGGGGTGGGGGGAGCAGAATAGTGTCAATAAGAATAAGAACAGAGATAATCATACACCTAAAACATTGTGGTCAGGCTTTTGCATTCTAAGACACTTCAGTTGATTGGCAAATGACTGAGGCCTATGTGCATAATTTTTAATTGGGAAAATGCTGTTTTCTGTAAGATGAAAGAAATAATAGTGTGGTTGCTTTTGGTACTGGGTCAGGATTACAAGTAAAGCAAATGTACAAATACATTGTGCTTCTCTAAATGTCTGAAAAGCTTTGTGTTATGTCTTAGGGTGAGAAGAGGGAGTTGATCAGACTTCTGGCCATGTGGCTAGGGGACTTGATCCACCTGCAGGAGATGCAGTATTACTGCTGTCTCATGTCATGCATCATGCTGTAATTTTGAATTAAGTCAGAGATAAGCATATTTTCCTTGTGTGATGAAGCAACTTTGTGTTATATTCTAATTCTGTCCAAGGAAGTTTATTGCTGTGAATTTCTCAAGTATTGTTGATTATTTCACATGAATGATTATATGGCCTCACCAGCAAAAGAAAGTGTGACTTACTAGAATGAGTAGGAAGTATTTGTAGTCCTAGGCTCCTATAGGTACTGTGTCAGTAAACCCTGTGTGAGTAGATATACAAACAAATTAGCATTCAAACATCATGGTGGTAAACTCCCCTTTCTTTTCCCTGTGTGTATAAAGAGGCTTGTAATACCTAATGGTTTAGTTTTGTATAGTTTATATCGCCTTTTAAAGACTGTTTCAGTATATTAGAAATAAATCTTATTTCTTTCCTAACTATATTAGTCTACTTTCTTAGGAAATAGTACTATAAAATCTTGATGACATAACTGAAGCCAGATTGAAAGACATGCTCTAGAAAATTAAGTAGGATTATTCAAGGATAAGATAACTAAATTCCAGCATTGGCTTTGAAAAGCTAAAGAAGCTGAATTTAAAATAAGGACACTGGATTGTTTGGAGCCCCTTAAAGACCTAGGGTCAATGCGTTAATATTTCTTAAATGAAACAAAGGTAGCAAGTAAGAAGTGAAAGACATAAGAAAGGGAAGCAGGCAATCCTGGAGACTGAGATTGCTAGATCAAAGGCATAGCAAAACTTTGTGTTCCTTTCTCCTGGAAATGAGAGGAAGTAGTAAATTTCCTTTTCTATGGTGGTATGTAGATAGCTTAAAATATGGGAAGAATATCTAACTTTACTCATACCCCATACTCCACACTAGACAGAAATCAATATAAAAAATTTACTTTGAATTTTCCTGCAGCTCAAACTAGAAGACTACAAAGATCGCCTGAAGAAGGGAGAAGCCCTTAATCCAGACCAGTTGGTAAGTTTGCTTTATGCAGGAGTGGGTGGCCTCAAAATCTTCAAATGTGTCAGAAGGGATAGGTTGCTGAAGGAGGTGGTGGTGTAGTTTTACAGAAGTAATGCCTGCAGACTTGCATTAGTATTTTTTTCACAAAATCAAATGGACAAATTATTGGTAATTAAGCTGAATGGTGAGCCCACAAGCTTTGTCTTCTACTACTCCAGTATACAACATGAAGGTTGAAGTAGAAGGCCCCTGGTTATTTTTGCTCCGCAGACTTTCAGCTTCAGTGCTCCTGCACCATTGTTTCTTGATGAGGTGTCTGTATGCAGCTTATCTATAAGGCATTGCAGTGTATGAACACAAACCTCAAGATTCTGGGGTAGCTAATTAATCCTCATGGCTTCTTCATTAACAGGTGTTACTTGAAATTGCCTGTTACAACTGGATAGTGCTGTTGGTTACAAGTAGCTGTTAAAGTATAACTGGCAAACAGTCTCTGGTACCAAGGAAGACACTGGTTTAAATTGCATGGGATCTAAAGGCTTCCCTAATACATGAATCCAGCTATGAGTTACTTAGTTGTGAATATTCTCCTGTCCTTCTGGTGCTTCTGTTAGATGGCTGGCACTTGTCAGCACTCAAATGCTGTTAGGACAATAGGTCTGTTTTGTACCTAAGGTTGCTAGAGTTTGGAATGCTGGGATGCAAGATCAGTAATCAACAAACTTGATCCACTTTGTCGAGCTAACTTTAACTTGCCTGATGTTAAAACAGTGGTTCTGGCTTTTTTCTGTTTTGGACTGGAATGGATTCTAGAACTGAAACCAGGTTTCTCTAGCATGAAAGCTGTTGCTTCTTAAGCATGTCTGAGTAGCAGTGTCACATAATTCAAAGGGTTGCTCTAGTCATCTAGGAGTTGCATTTTAAAAATGTACTTCACGGATATGCTAAAGAACAACTCTGTGATAAAGGGCATTACCACTTCAGTGGCAGCACTGATCCTGCTAATGAACCAGTTGGAAAAATACTTCATTGACTGTTAGCTTTATCACAGAGCAGCAGTATGAGAAAACAAATACTATTTCATTACTCTGAATCATTTGTAAATGAGAACTAGACATAAATGGAATAAGAGGGGAAATGATAACTTGCTAGTTAAAAGTAGAGTGGACTGTTTGGAATGAATGGTCATTTATCGCTTACCTGCAAAATCTGATGTAGTCTTGCCACCTCAAAGTGCAAAAGTAAAAGAATTAAATCTGATAGCTTGAAGTAAGATGATGACCTTTTAGTTCCTCTAAATTCAATGTGGAATCAGGTGGGCAAGAGCCTTTTGCATTTAGATCATAGGTTTTTAAAAGCAATCTGTTTTCTTCTGTCACTAACAGACTATTGAACAGTACTCTGTGTAAGTTTGATTAATTTTGAATATGTTTTAAAGCTATTTCTAAATTTGACTATTTATCTTTGGTATATACCCTGGACTCTGAAATACTGTTAGGTGAAAGTGAGGACCTAAAGAGGTGATGGATTCTGTAGATGATTTTCTTGCAAATGCATCCAGCAAGGACTAACTTTGGAAAATGTGTAGGCAGTTAACTTGGTTACTTGGTATTCTCAGCTGAGCTTAACTTTTTAAGTATTGGTATTTTTATTGCAGTTTCTGGGATCTCAGGCTTCTAAAATGATTAATTAGATTCAGTCTTGCTAGTGTCAAACTGCTCAGATGACTAGTGTAGAAGAGTGTATCAGCTCAGTATTTACCTAATAGTCTAGTCAAGACCCCCATTTCAGTGGTTAAGATGCAGAACTACTGCATTTGTACCTTTCAGATGCAAATTCCCAGTGTATATACAAATACTGGGACCTGGTGATTGAAGCTAGAGTGGAGCTTAATAGCTTGGACACTTGCCTAAAGAAACCTAACTGCCTATAATACAGTGGAGCTCTAATGTAACTTGATGTCATCTATATTTTTCATTGTTTCTCACACAGAGGAAGGAGTGCACATCTGGTGATGAACTTATTTTGCAAGCAATTTGGATTAAACTGTAATTATTTATGGTGCATGCCTGCCAGAGCTACTGTGTGTGCTAGCCTTACTTTAGGAAACATTTGTTTCAAAAATGAGGAGCTTCCAGCAAGTTAAATGCTCTCACTGGCAATATTGTGCTGTTTTGCAAGCTGAGCAGATTTTCCTTGGTACTGTTGCTCCAACATGCAGTTAATGAATGTTAATAACAGGTGTGACAAAAGAAAGCTATTGTTTTCCTGCAGGCTGAGTTATAGCTGGTCATCAGAGCAGTGGTAAAGGTTCTTGATGTTTTCAGGTAAGGAGTTTTACTCTGGTATTTGCATTGTTAAAAGCACAGTTACCTCAGTCTGTCTAGTAAGTTGCTGGTGTTAAATTGTGAGTCTTCCTCAAATGTCTGATGTGGGCATTAGGGTCTTAGAATTAATTCTCCTAAGTGCTAAATGAATTTGCTCATTAGTTCTTAAAAATTGCTCAATAGATTGTGAGGACAACTTAAACTACCAGATGAGTGCTTTACAGTAACTCATGCACTTTGTTATGATGAGTAGCATTTAGGCCTAGTAATGTCTAGTATGCTACAAATAACTGAATACTAGTAACTGAACAATTGAAGTGATTGAACAAATGAATGTGTAACTTGTTTTCCAGTTGTTTAGGAACGCATATGGACTTTGCATGTCCTGAATCTTATTGGGAAAGTAGATTAGGCTTTTGTCACTGCACAGATGAAACACTTAATGCTAACACTACTTTGAAATAGCTGTATATTAGACCAATGAGACCATTCTAGAAAAAAATTTGATACCATGTCATGAGCATAAACCAAACTGACTGTAAAGCACATGTGAACAACTGAAATTAAACTTAACTTGTGACTTCCCAGGCCTGCCTTATGGCATGAGGATATGGGCAGCATGTCTGAACTACAGCATTTTGCTATCTGCAGAGCTGTCAAGGACACTTCTAAAAATGAACTGACTCCATAGTGGGGAAGAATTCCTAAAAAATAGGATATATCAAAATGCAATTAATAATCTACTTTAAGTAGCCTTTTTGAAGACTGGCTAATAAAATATTGGTTAAAGCCATTATTTGAGACAGAAACACTGCTTTTATTTGTGGAAACTAAATTTGAAAGACTTTTCTGAAAGTATGACTTGCCTTCTATATTGTTTTCTTTCTGGAGTTTGTACAAATTATCTGTGAAGGCATTCAGCTAAGCACCCAGGTAAAAGATCTGTGATGAACTTTTCTGTCTCTCATATTCTTCCAGGCTTTCATATCAGTATCTGATTTTAAGTAGCTATGTACATCTGATTGAGATCTATGGGAACAAAGGGAAAAATTAAATAACTGGTATTCAGGCTTTCTGTTTCAACATTAGTATACCAAATATTGCACAAGATGTTGCCTGGAAAGTGTAATACAGACAAACTTGTAGGCTGTGTGTGGTGTGACTGGCTTTGTACTGTATCTTGGGCAGTCATGGGTGAATGGTATTCATGACTAAATTTAAAGTACCAGTTACAGACATAGTAGCTTTACAAAAGTTGCAGTTTTGGAGAATTACACACTAAATGACTAGTTCTCAATGAGAATTCAAGTACAAGAGGATTGAGATGCAACCAGTAGTCTTCAGCATGAAAAATACATTTTTATGTATTCTTTTGTAGGAGGCAGTAGAGAAATATGATGAAGTAGTACACAACTTGGAATTTGCCAAGGAGCTTCAGAAGACTTTTTCAGGACTTAGCCAAGATGTAAGTATAAAGTACTCTTCTCTATATTGTCAGGAGGTAACAGCAAAGTTTGTGCTACTCTTCTAATGGCTACACTTATATGCCAGTGTGCAGAATACTAGGAAGTTTCTGTCTTGGAACTTGGGGGAACAATGTGCTTAAACTGTCTGGAGTAGTGGGTGGAGCGGAGTAAATGTTGACAACTTTGTATACCACTGATTTCCACAATATAGTTACTCACCATGTGCCCCCCCCCCCGTAAGAACTTGTGCTTAAGTTAATTAAGTCACTGGAGTTCAGCTGTGTTGAGATGATTCCAGTTTACTTAGGTTTGAAACTGTTAACCATCTTGCTGGTAGCTTGTGCTGTAGGTGGACTCATCCCCTGCATAGATGCAGACTGGCAGGGAGCAGCTCTACTGGAAAGGACATGCAGGTCCTTGTGAGCAGCAGAAAAAGTAAACTAAGCGTACCCCTGGAAGTGAAGGCTAGACTTAGACTAAGGACCAGAAAATTAAGAATCATAAGATTGTTTAGGTTGGAAAAGACCTTTAAGATCATCAGGTCCAACTGTTAACCTAACACTGCTAGGTCTACCATTAAGCCATGTCCCTAAGCACCACATCTTCATGTCTTTTAAATACTTCCAGGGATGGTGACTTGGCCATTCCAGTAGTCTGTTCCAGTGCCTGATAACCCTTTCAGTGAAGAAATTTTTCCTAATACCTAACCTAAACCTCCATTGGTGCAACTTGAGGCCGTTTCCTCTTGTCCTATTGCTTCTTACTTGGGAGAAGACTGACACCTACCTTGTTACAGCCTCCTTTTGGGTAGTTGTAGTGATAAGGTCTCCCCTCTGCCTCCTTTTCTCCAAGCTAAATAAGCCCAGTTCTCTCAGCTGTTCCTTACAGGACTTGCTCTCTAGACCCTTTGCCAGCTTCCTCCATGCTTTGTTGTTGCTGCTATCTGCCCAATCCCATTGCTGCCTAGAGAAGTAGTAAAATCTGTCCTTGGATCTTTTCAAGACCTGCACAAAGCTCTAAGCAATCTGGTCTTGATTCAGTGTAGCCTTTGTTCTGGAGGCTGGGCTAGATGATGTCCTAAGATCCCTTCCAAACTGTTTGTTTTGATGTTTTCAGTGAGGGAAAGTGCTGGGGTTAAATCACTTTGGGTTCAGTCAGAAATACAGCTCTCAGTAAAATTTTGCTGAAGCTTGTGGAATTTGCTGCTTGTTCTGCTGTAGTTCTCTAATTACGGCAAGTCACAGATTTAGTGCTTTGCTTAGGTCTTTATTTGGGGTTTAAAGCACTACATTATTTTTTGGTAAGCAAGTGTTTTATTTTTGGAGGAACTAGTCTCTTGGCTCAAGCAAATACTGTCCTTATGAGAAGATCTGATCCAAAGTAGTGCTGGGGATGCTAAACATGATTAGTCACTGCTCTGGCATTATTTCTCTGCCTCTGACAGAATGCTGAAGGACTGGTAAAATGGCTTGTCTCAGTGTTGACAGAGACCCAAACAATTCTGCTAGGGAGGCTTTTCTTGTATATGCAGTAGTTCCAGTTAGTGCAGTAAATCTCTCAAAGCACTATGTGAGCAGAGATTTAAGAGCCTTTTCAGCAGTCTTGCTGCTTTGGGTTCCCTTGGTCATTGTATGTTGAACATACAAACTACTGTGAATGTCAAAACTTGGATTCCTTCCTATTGCTTTCCTATGTGTAGCTGCCCATAGAATATCAGAAATGAAGGATTTTGATGCAGTGTAACTTTCTGTAGGTGTTTTTAGTGATCCAGAATTAAATTCTGCGAGTTCATGTTTGTTCTTGAACTTGTGCAATATTTAAAGGCTAACCCACTTTGTTTTCCTTGGCTCTACTTCTACCAGTAAGGATGCTACAGCCAATACCTGTTACTGGAACACTAGGGGCTATTCTAGCAACCACATCCTTATCCTTTACAGTGGGGAAAAAAACTTCCTAGGAAACAAGATTTTCATAAATCTTGTGAAGAAACTTAAGATGTATTGAGGCATTTTGGATTCTGTAGTTACTTGAGTAGCTTTTGCTGCGTAATTCTATTAATACATGATGAGAAGTTTCTCCTCAAATGCATGAGGGCTGTGTATGTTCTGTAACTTGTGTTGTTGCTTATTTAAAGAGTGCTTCAGTCTTCTGCCAACAGAAGTAAGAGTAAGTGTAGGATTCTGCTGTATCATTTAAATTGGACTATTCAAAAGTGAAGAGGTGGTTGTATCACTAGGAGAAATTTGAGGCAATTTTTGCATTACTGACTTCATGTGATAAATGTTAAAGGTCAGCTAGGCTTGGATGTGTGTATTGGTTAAATTCTATCAATTCCTTATATTCAGTTGTGAAAGTTGTTATAAAGCAACCAGCAGGCATAATCAGGATCTAAATATTGTAAAGGCGTATCACAAGTGAAGTTACCAGTATCCAGTTTGACTAAGAGCTAGTTGTGCAGAGAATTAGTAGGTAAATGGGGAGCTCTTCCAGAGGAGGAGCTTGAAAGATCTTGGGTATCTTAAGGGAGAACTAGCAACTTCTGTTACCTAACCAAAATTAATAGTTATTTTGATCAACGTAGGGTGATCAATACTAGAACTGAACATGTTTTATCCTAGAATCCTGTTAATAAACCACTGTGTTTAACTGTTTAATTCATGTTGAAATAGCTGCTGAAAGCACAGAGGAAGGCTCAGAGAAGAGAGAGTCTATTGAAGCTTGAAGCAGAGAAGAAGAAACTGCGTACAATACTTCAAGTCCAGTATGTGCTGCAGAACTTCACTCAAGAGCATGTTCAGAAAGATTTCAAAGGTGGTGTGAATGGTGCGATATACTTGCCTTCTAAAGAACTAGACTACCTCATAAGATTTGCAAAACTGTCGTGTCCAGAAAGAAATGAGAACTTGAGGTAAGTTCAAGATTTTTGTTTAATTGGTATGCTTCATTCATTACAGTAAATGTCCTTTGTTTGACACTGCTGAGTCTTGAAATATTATGTTTTGGGACACTAATTAAAATTCAGTACACTTTCTTTAGTCTGAGACTAGAATGTAGCAGATTCACTTCACTCTGAGCATTAAAGGAAGCTGCAGTAATTACAGCCTTAGTTGTGCAAGTTACAAGCCCTGCCATCTTATGTCTCCCGATGGAGTTGAGGGGAGATAGTCCAATACCATCATAAGCAGGGAGGCTGGTGGTGTGCTGTTTCCCTGAGGTCTCACTGTTCATGAAATGAAAAAGCGCAGTAAACACAGGAGAACTGTTCTATATTCATTCACATAATGATCCAGATGTGCTGCTTTATTCTAAAGGAATGTAAGGTGGTAGTCCTGAGGTGCTCTTGCTGTTAGCTTCGAAGTAGTTTTAAAAATTGGACTGAAGGTTTTGATACCTCTGCACTAAATGCCATACATCTTAAGGTAGCAGGTTGTCAACAGATGTAGCTTATGTCAGTACTAACATGGCATCATGCTTGTACTATGATGGCTTATGTTTAACATGACAGCCTGTTTTAGGATAGCATAGTAAGAATTGTATTTAAATATGGAAAAAGTAGTTATTAGGTGGTAAGTTGAAACACTTTATGGAAAAGATTACTTCCATATTCAAACATGACTTAAGTTTCTAAACTTCTAATCACTTGTCATATGCTAAACTTGCCTAATCCTTGCTCTTAAGCTAACTTCTAAAGAATAGCTGCTTACAAAAATCAACACAATAGGAGTCTTTCATCCCAGTGTAATAACTTAATTTCCAAATTGTAATTCTCATTGTATTACACTTTCACAAGAAGGATAATCCTTTCCTTTAGGATACTAAATTTCATCATGATGGACTTTAAAATCCATTGTCTGGAGGGAATGGGGTAGATCATGGACTTATGTCAAAGTTTCTCAATAACTAGCAGAGTGGCAGAAGCTGTTGATGGTTTCACCTGGACATGTGCATCCAATAAACAGGGTGATCAGCTGATTAAACAACAGTTGTTTTCCTGTCTGGGAATCCCGGCTTGGAATGAAGTCCAGCCATATGGTCCTGTGGGATATGCTAGGCTCTCTAATCTGTCTTAATTACCAACAAAAGAACTTATATTTGCTTGACTAAATCATGTACGAATACATGCAGATGAATTGCTTTCAGTAGTGGATAATGGGCTTATGATTTGCTCTATGCATACAGCCTTAATTTGGAAGGCTAAACACTGGTCAGTATCTAAAAAAAATGAGGGATATTGGGAGACTACAAGGCTTTACCTTGGCTATAATTCTACATGGCAAACCTGTCATTTGTTTTAGTGTGGAAGACCAGATGGAACAGTCATCTCTCTACTTCTGGGACCTTCTAGAAGGAAGCGAGAAACCTGTGGTTGGAACAACATGTGAGTCTCATCTAGAGAGATAACTTGGAGATCTGAAATTTGTGTGCTGTTTAAATATCTCAAGACAAATGAGTATGCATGGAAGGCTACTAAATTAAGCACTTAAGTGCTGTGTGATAACACAGTTATCCAAGGATGAACTGCTGCTTGTTCGAAGTTCTGTTTTTTTAAGTACAGATGAAAACAATACAGTAGATCTTTCCCTGAAAAAGAAAACATGTTATTTTACCAATGTACTAGCACCTTTCTGAGAGAATAGTGATGGTAGAAATTCAAAAGGTGGTGCCTGAATACCTTACAGAACTAGCAGTGGGAAGGTTTTTGGATAGTTATGTGCAAATGGGTTAAGATTGGAACACTGTTCCCAGCCATGGAATGCTTAGCTGAGTATACTGATGAGTATTAGAAAGCTTCAGTGGCCTCAGGCTGAAGGGACCATAGCACTGAAGATTCTCTCTTGTAGGAATTCCAGTCTCATGCCCATTGTCTGACTACAGTGCAGGATACCACACTGAGGAAGAAGAGTTATTAATGGAACTTGCTGTGATCTATAATCATCTACAGTGCGGTCTTGCTTTGACCGATTGCAAATATCCTCATTTTTCAAGCACACCAAAATCTGTGGGACTCTACATTAATTTTCTTCTATCTGTGGCTTCTAGTTTCAGAAAACCTGGTTGTAAGCTAACATATGCATTCTGTGTTCCTATTTAGAACTTGCTTGTGAGGAAATTGTCCTTACTTGAGTTGTAGTCTTTCGTATTGCAAACAGACCTTGCTTGTCCCATTTACTCTGGTCTTGCAATGGCTCTGTGGCAGTAATCTTTCATTTGTCATTGACAACAATGTTGCTGAAACTGTTAGATGAGAGTGCTAATGTACCCTATAGAACTTCCACATATTCATAGTTGAACTGACAACTAAGTGTTAACTCTCTTTCATATAGTTCTGGACTAAGTGCCAGCTGGCCTTGTAGAGCTACAAGCTGGTAACTTTAGCCTTGCATCTGTTGATATGAACTGGCAGTTGCCTGGTTATTTTGGACTCCAAATTTTTGTAACCTTTTGTCTATCATCTCAACATTTTTTTATATTTGTATTAAATTCTAGCTACTATTCTTGTTTATGTGGTTGTCACTGGTAGGAGTGATCTTTCACTGAATGTTCTTCCTCTTCTCAAGGCTGCCCTGTCTTTAGCTCCTCTGAAACAATTTCTAGTATCACTGCTAATTCTGAGGTCTTACTCTATACTCTAAGTTGCTGTCTCTTTTTACGTAAATAAGGGAACTGGACAATGCTCACTAGAAAGAGTACATAGTTAAGTTTTTCTTCAACCATGCCAACTTTGACTTTTTTCCAAACTTCAGGAGGTTAAGTTCAGTCTGGAACAATCTCTGGCTTTCTTCCCCCTGCTTGTTTTTGCAGTTCTTAACTTTTCCTTGTGAGACTTGCCATACTACACTGGGAAGAGCTTTTTTTTTCAGTATCAGTGCTGGCTAGCTTATTGTGGCAAACATCCCTTTCTAAGCATGTGGGAGATCAGGTGGTTCAGTGTTTACCTTGTGTGCATTTGAACACAAGCTGCAGTCTTACCTCTATAAAGCAGTTTAACAAATACTTTATTAAAACATTTTATTGTTATAACTCAGTAAGATGTGTGAACTTGGGAGAAGTTGCAATTTATATAAAGAGAAGTGAGGAGTCTTGATCTGTAATCTTGAATACTCCTTAATTCCAAATTTTCCTGTCTTAACTTCATGGATTTTTATTCTTCAGATAAACACATGAAGGACCTGTTGTCCAAACTTCTAGACTCTGGCTACTTTGAAAGTATTCCAACTCCTCGCACCACTGTGCCAGTAAAAGAACTGGAAGAAGAACTAAATAGAAAATCTGAGAGAGCAAGACAGATGTCAAAAGGAGAGTCTGTCAAAGAACCAGGTGGAATATTACAGGGTTCAATTTCTGTAACATAATGTTGGGATAAGCTTGAACTGAGAATTGACTTTGCAAAGCTTGATGCCAAACCTAATCCTGTGCTGTAGCTTACTTGCAATGTAGTAACTAAAATGGAACCTGCAAGGTTTGCATCTCTGTTCTAGCTAATATTGTAGAAAAATCTAGTTCATAGTAATAGGATGTTTTTACCTTCTGAGCAAGCCTGCATGTTGAAGATGTGAGAATTGTCTGGGGTGGGGAATGTTAATATTTAAAACACACACATT